ATTTCGCTATCGTGATCCGTTTTTCTACAGATTTATTTTTTTTAAATTTTTATTGTGATCCGTGATCATGGAAATTTATTTTCTGTGAATCGTGATTGACAAAAAAGTCAACTCGTGAATCGTGATGAGACCCCCATCAGGCCCCTCATCAAAGTCAACACAGAATATTAGTTTACAACTATGTCAATTAATGTTCAATTTTATTAAGGCATCTTGTCTCATTTCAATCTCATTTAAATCAAACAAAACTTCCACAGAAAATACGGATTATAAGTTATTCACCATAGATCTCTAACTAATAAATCTTCACCGTTATTTCAGAAATTTAGAGAACTGTCACAGTGGGTAATTTTACCATTGGAATACCAAAATGAAATTATTATTATGGAATAGGTTAAACATTTAATATACTTTTGGTTATTAAAATCTTATAGGTAAAATGATTTTTCAGAGAACAGTTTTTCTCAACAGGATTTGTAATACTAATGTATCCTTTTAAAAGAAATAACTCTAAGAGAAACTTAACTTATGTGTGATCAATTGTATCATAGGATATAAAAGAATACAAATATGTCAGTGATTGTATAAGTTATTAAAGACATCTTGCGACTGAGATGCCTCAAAGATACTATGATGGAAAATAATGATTTTATGTCACTTAACAAACAACTTCAAACGTATCTTGACCATTTCAGAACCGTAAGGAGCTAATTTCACTGTTAGTACAAGACTAAAATAGTTCTACGCAATTATCTAATATTTATGTATTTTGATGAGCAAAAACCGCGGTAAAATGGTTTTTCATGCATTTTATTTTAGTTAAAAACAAAATTTAAAAGTCCGTAAGAGAAAATTAACTTAAATATATAGATTTTGGTAAGATCTCATTCGTATTGCTTAAAATTGAATTAGCCCTCCAGAGAAAATTGGTTAAAAACTATAACAATTTATTAATTTATAAGTGTCTCAGATATATCAAGGATATTTTTCGATGTAGAGAAAGAATTCTATATATTATTGAACATCAAACAAAATGTGACAAACTCAGAATCTTGCGGAATATAATAATTTCATCATATGTACACCAAAATGAAAATACTGTTACACCACAGATTGAGTACTTATGGTTTAAAAGCACAAACAATTATACCTTTGAATATAAACGTTTTGGTGAACACCTTTGAATATAAACGTTTTGGTGTACACCTTTGAATATAAACGTTTTGGTGTACACCTTTGAAGATAAACGTTTTGGTGAACACCTTTGAATATAAACGTTTTGGTGAACACCTTTGAAGATAAACGTTTTGGTGAACACCTTTGAAGATAAACGTTTTGGTGAACACCTTTGAAGATAAACGTGTTGGTGTACACCTTTGAAGATAAACGTTTTGGTGAACACCTTTGAAAATAAACGTTGTGGTGAACACCTTTGAAGATAAACGTTTTGGTGAACACCTTTGAAGATAAACGTTTTGGTGAACACCTTTGAAGATAAACGTTTTGGTGAACTGAACACCTTTGAATATAAACGTGTTGGTTTAAGTGCACATTTGAAGATAAACGTTTAAGTATACACTATTGAAGATAATCGTTTTGGTGTTCACCTTTGAAGATAAACGTTTTGATGTACACCTTTGAAGATAATCGTTTTATTGTTCACCTTTGAATATAAACGATTTGGTGTACTCCTGTGCAGATAAACGTTGTGATGTACACCTTTGAAGATAAACGTTTTGGTGTACACCTTTGAAGATTAACGTTCCGATGTACACCTTTGACGATAAATGTTTTGATGTACTCCTGTGCAGATAAACGTTGTGATGTACACCTTTGAAGATAAACGTTTTGGTGTACACCTTTGAAGATTAACGTTTCGATGTACACCTTTGACGATAAACGTTTTGATGTACTCCTGTGCAGATAAACGTTGTGATGTACACCTTTGAAGATACATGTTTGGGTGTACACCTTTGAAGATAAAGTTTTTGTTTGTACCTTTGAAGAAAAATATCTAGATCATATTTAATATGCTTTAGATTCTCCAACTAAGAACCATATCTTTAAACTTCATCTAAAGCTGTTTATTACATTTTGTATATTTTTTTATTATCAGTGACATTCCTTTGATAGAATATTAGACACTGCAAAGAATAAGTAAAAAGGTTTTTATATGCAATCGCATGGTATAAAATATTGCTTTCACGAAAATTATACTATCAAATAAATCAAGTATTCTTTATACAGTACTAGAAGTCACAATCTTGTGCAATATACAACCAAGAAAGTCAAGTTCTTGTGCAATATACAATACAGGAAGTAACGATCTTGTGCACTATATAGTACAGGAAATAACGTTCTTGGCAATATACAATACAGGAAGTCACGATCTTATGCAATATATGATACAAGAAGTCACGATCTTGTGCAATATACAGTACAGGAAGCAACGATCGTGTGCAACAACAGTACAAGAAGTCACTATCTTGTGCAATATACAGTACTAGAAGTCACAATCTTGTGCCATATACAACCAAGGAAGTCAAGTTCTTGTGAAATATACAATACAGGAAGTAACGATCTTGTGCACTATATAGTACAGGAAATAACGTTCTTGGCAATATACAATACAGGAAGTCACGATCTTATGCAATATATGATACAAGAAGTCACGATCTTGTGCAATATACAGTACAGGAAGCAACGATCGTGTGCAACAATAGTACAGGAAAAAACGTTCTTGGCAATATACAATACAGGAAGTCACAATCTTATGCAATATATGATACAAGAAGTCACTATCTTGTGCAATATACAGTACTAGAAGTCACAATCTTGTGCAATATACAACCAAGGAAGTCAAGTTCTTGTGCAATATACTAACAGTACAGGAAGTAACGACCTCGTGCACTATATAGTACAGGAAATAACGATCTTGGCAATATACAATACAAGAAGTCACGAGCTTGGCACTTTACAATACAAGAAGTCAAGGTCTTGTGCAATATATAGTACAAGAAGTTATGATCTTGTGCAATATACAATACAGGAAGTAACGATATTGTGCAATAAACAGTACAGGGAGTAACAATCTTGGAAATATGCAATACAAAATGTCACGATCTTGGCAATATACAATACAAAAACTCTCGATCTTGGTAATATACAATACAAGAAGTCACGATCTTAGCAATATACAATACAACAAGTCACGATCTTGGCAATATACAATACAAAAATTCTCGATCTTGGTAATATACAATACAAGAAGTCACGATCTTGGCATATGCAATACAAGAAGTCACAATCTTTGCAATATACAATACAGGAAGCCACGATCTTGTGCAGTACAAAATAAGGGAAAAAAACGTAATATATTGAAAACATTTTTACAGAAATTAATTAAAGAAGGATGAAAGTTACATTTAAATATTGTTTCAAACAAGGAATTTACGAATTCATTATAAAAATAAGGAGATGAGGTATGATTGCCAATGAGACAACTATCCACCAAATTTCAAATGAAGTGGATGTAATCATGTTTATCACAAAATAATACTGAAGATGTAATAACAAAAATACTAAGCACCATGATTGAATATCAAAATAAAAGTAATTCTTAAAAAAATCTATTAAGACAGAAAGAAAGAATTAACAGACATTTTTTAAACTTGTTTGCTCTATAACTACAACTGATGTAACGAACATGGTGTAATTTATAGATATAAGAAGATGTGGTATGAGTGCCAATGAGACAACTCTCCATCCAAGTCAAAATTTATAAAAGTAAACCATTATAGGTCACAGTACGGTCTTCAACACGGAGCCTTGGCTCACACCGAAAAGTAAGCTATAAAGGGCCCCAAAAAATTACTAGTGTAAAACCATTCAAACGGGAAAACCAACGGCCTAATCTATATAAAAAACGAGAAACGAGAAACACTTATGAACCACATCAACAAACGACAACTACTGAACATCAGATTCCTGACTTAGGACAGGTGCAAACAAATGCAGCGGGTTTAAACGTTTTAATGGTACCAAACCTTCACCCTTTTTCTGAAACAATAGTGTAACATCACAACATAGAAAGACGCACTATAAAATATCAACTGATTTATACCATTATTTATAAAATTTCTGCATATAGAATCGTGATTCCGCAATAAATCTTAATAATTGTGATGAACTTAGTGGAGGTTTTGACTAATCTATGATATATCCCTCTTGTAACATTAAAAACAATAACGTCCAGTGAAATATGAGATGTTACTGCGAACAATTTGCCTGCAAGTTTTCTTTACAATCTGTCTATAAATTTCCTTCGCTGTTGACTTTTCACAGACTTTCAGAATAATAAAATAGTTGCTGACGCTAAACGACGTAAATTAAGACCTTTTTTATATCTAAATTATTAATGAAAATTTTAATTTTCAGCAGATAATAAAACTCGTATCAAATTCTTATGGACGTATATTGTATCAGGATAACCAAATGGATTAAAAGAAAGCATATTTTCTAGTATTAGAAATTAAAACTTTAAAATGAAATGCTTAAACTTCAGAACTTCAGACTACATTCTATATAGCTTATTACAGGGTAATTTTTTCGTTTGTATGAACTTTCATTTATGAATTTGTTTTCAAATGTTTTACTCTTTGACATTTTGTTAATCCAGGCCTATACGGTTTTGCTCATTGTTGGAGACCATATGGTGACTTGATGTTGTTTATATCCTTGTCTTTATATCTCTGGTGGATATTTGATTCATTGACGATCGTATCACATCTCCTTATTAAATATTTAAGTTAATTTGTGTTGCTATAATTGGATAAGATTATTTCAGAAGGTATTTTTATTGTTATAAAAGTGTCATTTGGTCTTAACAACAATGATTTATTTTCAGAAATGATATGTTTATTTATTTACAAATTGTGTTGTTTGGTTGCTGTCAGAATTTAAGAGGAAGTTAGTAACAACAATAGACAATATATCCTAACCTTGTGTGAAAGTGTTGATCTTGCAGAAAAATGCTCCAAGTACCCATCCTTCAGATACGTCATCAACAAGCGATACCCACATACAGCAGACGGTCACGAGAAGATCGGCCACAGCCAAATTTACAATGTAGTAATTGGTCGTTGTTCTCATGGACCGGTTCCGTAATACAACGACAATTATCAGAAAATTTCCTACCAGTGAAAAATATATAATAACTGCAAAAAGTAAGGATTTTACAATAATTTCCCATTCTGGAACTTGTTTAAGTTCTCCCAAATATGGATAATCGCTGTAATCCTGTCCACCTTGGTCAGTTATATTATATGTCCCGTTGACTTCAGAACTATTATAAACAACTACCTCCATTGTGTGATATATTGTATTCTATTAATTCATTGTTCTAATATAAAACTATCTGATTGAAACTATCCAATAACTTCTATTTTATATCAACGAAGACGTGAAGATAGCCTATGTCACATGATACAGTTCCATGTAAATAAAATCACGTGGAATCGATCATTAGTTCTGGAGGATCTCATTTGATAAATTATCCTTTGGGATTGCCATACAATATTTCCTCACTCTATCAACCCTAAACGTCTTAATTAACATCAAGAAAATTAACAAAAGATGAATATTAACAGACTTGCCAAAAACACTTTTAAAGAAAACATATGTTAATAAATAAATGCATAAAAATGTAATTTTTCTTCTCCTAAACTATGTTTATTTGTGCATTTCGTTTCAGTTATAATGCATAGTATTCTTTATTCTTAGGTCGTTTTGTCCTCCAGTATAAATTTTATGTGTTAAAAACTATAAAATATTATGTTTTTATAGATCTAATAACCCGATAAAAACAAAACGTGTTTTCTTTGACGGTGCATAATAATTAAGTATACAATTGCCTGCATTAGTAACACCTGATATATTCTTAACCTGTGGTTTTCATACTTCATAACATGAAGAATTAATCAAAACTTTGGTGAAAAGAGTCAGTGGACGTATTAATATTTATATTAATATATTTATTGATGTCAAGAAGCATATAAATAGTGCAGTTATCTATGAAATATTGCTTAATGAACGATATATAACATTGTGTACTTCGTGTAGTTTGTAAAGTTTGTTTATAGAAGGGGATACCTAAAATAGTTTATTTTCAAGTTTAAATTTGTAAGTTTTTGATTTAATGAGCCAAATTGATATAGCTCGTCTATGTGAAGATAAGAAATTTCAGCATCTAAAGTATCGTTTATTGTTCCATAAGAAAGATTGTGTACACAACTACATGTTTTATTTTGTGTTATTTTAGCATAAACCATCATATTTTCATTTTGTTGTTGTTGTTGGAAATATAGAACATTAGAAATTAATTTCGATGATTTCTATTAAAAAGACCGAAATAATTACTATTAATATCTATATATATCTTTTTGTTTTTTAATCCGTTTGGTTGCTAAACCTCATATCTGTTTTTTTTTCGAATTAATTATCAATTTTCTAATAAAAGTTGGGGTGGGGTATATCTAGGTTGTTTCCTTCCGTTCGTCTACCACAATTTCTTCCGACGAGACTCCGATTTCGTTTGCTTGGGTTTCGAAAATTAACATTTCCACCTCCTTCATTTTTAGATAAAAGAATATTTCACTTGAAAACAGTAATAACATGAAGTTTTTGTTTAAGTAGGAGGGTGATATGATTTGCTTTCTGTTTATATCAATCTTTGATTTCTGGTTAATATCATTGTATATCATCTTTAAGAGTAAATTCAATTTTAAGTATTATGGTATTTTGAAATGGAATCCAATATTTTGGATTGAAAAGGTCCAAATATGATTTTATTTATGTATTCTGAAGATCAATATATTCATAAATAAGATTTTGTAATTTCAGCAAAAGTGTCATATTTTAGACAGATTATTAAGAAATTTTAAACTTGCATTTCGGTGAACTTTTCTTTCGTATTTGAAATTGCTTTATTTCCATATAGAACGATTACTTATCTTATATGTAGATTTTATATGTGATAACGAGCATGAAAGTCCAAAGTGTTTGAACAAAACGTTATTTTTTCGTATTTACGGATTCTTTTATTGTTATGAATCTCAGCTGATGGCAAAACTTTATAAAGTCATTGTTGACAATACCTGCAGACCTAAAGACAATGTATTGTTGTATATTTTTTTTTGTTCTCTCTAGAGACACAAAGCTATCCACTTCAACTGACTCTTACTACTACTATTGATATTCCTTTCCTTGATTGCCGATATCTTCTTTTTATGAAGTGTACACCAGGTTTAATCCACCATTTTCTACATAAGAAAATGTCTGTACTAAGTCAGGAATATGACAGTTGTTTTCCATTCGTTTGATGTGTTTGAGCTTTTGATTTTGCCATTTGATAAGGGACTTTCCGCTTTGAATTTTCCTTGGAGTTCGGTATTTTTGTTATTTTACTTTTCACAATATTGGTTCGATGCGTGTTTGCAGTGACGTCTTAGATTTCAATGAACGTAACATTTTCATTATTTAAAAAAAAAACTCTTAAAGCAGTTGTGTAGATTTAAAAATAAATGGCCATCGTATCATAAATGCAGAATATGATTCCACCTTTAGAAATTTAGTAAAAGCGATACCAGATTTTTTTTTCGGTAGAATAATTAATAAAACTCACAAGTTAAGAATTGCTCTTCAAACTTTTCTTTCTGGCTCAAACGAATTATTAATAAAGGTTATAGGTATACTGTTGCTGTTTCTGCATTCTATTAGATATAAATCAATTTACAAATAACAAGTTTAGAGCAACAATAAAATCATAATGGTTATCTTTGTCTTTCTGCATTGGATTTTGTACAGTGTCCTCTGGATATTGCACACAATAGTTTCTTTTCATATTTTTTATGACGCTGTGTGACATCAGCTATGAAGTACAGCAACCGATATTAGAGTATAAGAATGCATGATTCCATATCAACAGGTTAAGGTATTTCATCTTGCTTTTATTAACTGCCAACATTCTTTGAAACGGTATATCATTACTCATCATTCATGCATTTGTTTTGTTTTTTTTCTCTTTTTTTTATGCCGTTATTTTAGAGTAAATATAAGAATGAGAAGATGTGGTATGATTACCAACGAGACAACTGTCCACCAAAGACCAAATGATGTAGAAGTTAACAACTATAGGTCACCGTATGACCCTCAACAATGAGCAAAACACATACCGCACAGTAAGCTATAAAAAGCCCCAAAATGACAAAAGATCTTTTTTCTATCCTATAACTGATTATAATTGTACGTTATTTTACATTCCTTTTGGTAGTCCTCTGATAGGGATGAAAAAAGTGGTAGGGTCGTGACCTAAAAAAACAAACTATCTCCTATCACATTTGTATGTGCCTGGCTATAGTCAAAATAATCGAAATCGCCAGTCGACTTCATAAAGGAGTTACTGATTTGAAATAAAAGAATTTTTCCCATTTTTTAATTTTTAGCTCGGTCAAGCAAAAATCATAAAAAATCATAAGCAAGACAAATTTTGGCCCACACAGTTTCCTTTCATATCAAATTTTCATGTGGCATTGTATAAATTGTAGGCTTTGATGACAGGTGAGCGATACGTACCGATTATCAGGTAGAAACTGGGGTTGAAAGCATATTGATATTGTAAAATATCAGCTGCGAGTCACACTATAAAGCTTTTGTCGATTGAGTGGAGCGACTAAGTTCAAAAAGGATTCATATTGTGTCGAGCAGCTGAAATTTTACAATATCAATACGATGAAAATCTGATAATCGATTTATGGGATGGTATTTGTGTATTTTGTATGATAGAAACAAGTGTTTTTTCTTTGTTCAACCAGCAAACCGAAAGATGACTTGATAAGTTCGGGTCAAACTTATCAACATCGGTTCATTCATTATGACGTCGGTGATATATCCGGGTCAAAGTTCAAACTCCCCGGCAGTTCCAGCTCCGATCCGCATACTACTCTACACTATTTGATGGAGTAAAGGAAAATAGTTCCAGAAGGGAAACGATCACTGTACGGAGTTTGGGTCAAAGTTATTAGTGCGAAGTATACGTAATTGCACGCCTCTAGCGGAATTCGGGATACAAAACGTGCGTCGTCAGTTACACAAGTTATCTCCCCTACTCCAAGAACGGTAAATGGGCACATGAAAGAGAAATCATCATTTTAATGACTTTGTGCGGTCTATCATGAACCCAAATAAGTATTCCTGTGCTATGTCAAAATTTCAAAGAAATCAGCTGACTCCAATCAGAAATCTTAGATCTTAGTATCCTATTGTGTGTTAGTCTTCCACTGTTTTTGTCACCTCACGCAGGAGCGGGTACATAATACCGCTCGTATTTATTTCAACAGAAATTAAGAATAAACAAATAAACCAGTGACAATTCTGCTTCTGGTCGTATCATACTCGTTAAAATCAATCCAGAGTTGACCCCACAATATTATTTGAATAAAATTCACAGTGTCAGTGTAACGTTAGCGTAATCTTGAAGGTAACGAATGATTACCGGTGAATTGCATGTAAATATGTATGTTGAACTAGAAAGGCGTTGGCATGTCCCGTTTTTTAAGCAATTGAAAATTTTAGGATAATTTATATTTGTGTGAAAAGTATAAACGATACTAAAGGGTAATCGACCACAAGTGAAACATTTTTAACATGTATACATAAGTGGAAGGACAAAGCTTACAGAAAAAAAAACGAACAAAAAAATCAGATTCCGTATACAAAACATTACACAGAAACTAAGAATTTAGCACTGTGACATTTATCTCAGAATAAGTAAATCATCTATCTCTTCCAAATCTCAGTTCTCAAGGAGCAGAAAATAAACAGGTGTCTTCTATTCCGTCCGCAATTTTTTGGGAAAGTAAAGTCTAAATTTAGAACCATGGTTGAAACTGAAACTACACATGTATGATAAAAATAGAACATGCAGTTTTTTCTTGATCAAATTCCAATTTCGAAAGGGTAGCGAAATCTGCATTCTTGTGTTGTTCTTTTGTGTATCATTCAGAAGTAGAGAATACAATTTTTTTCTTCTCAAGTCTCAATATTGAAGAATACTAGTATTATAGAATTATAGAGTATAAGGTATAGGGAAGAAGGGAGAGGGTGAAAAAAATAATGTTACTATATCGGGGCCTTTTATAACCGACTAAACGTTAGGGATTTTTCTCATGGTTGATGGCCTTATGGTTGCCTATTATAATTGCTTATATCCACTTCATTGAATAAGGCAGCTGGGGTGTCAAAATTTTCGGCGATAAATGTTTTGTAAGCTTCTGTAGAAGACTTTTCGGTCAAAGTAATTTCAAATTTCAATATAAAAACTGGGGATCGCGGACCTTGCTTTTTCGTAACAATACATTGAAATTAACCACATTTAGGGTATTTTATTTTGTTTATATAGGGGAAACTTAAGTTTTCCTTATTGAAGAAACATTAAACGATAGAATTGTCTAAAATTCGAAGAGATAATTTCGTTAATT